CACAGAGATACAGATGGATTGATGGATGGATGGATGGATAGACAGACGAAATGAATGCTCTACTAGAGTTACCTGGAGATGTTTTATTTGTTTGTATTGGTACATCCGTGCTGCGAGATGTTTCAATGGGGACATACAGGGGTTGGACAATGAAACTGAAACACCTGGTTTTACAACACAATAATTTGTTAGAATGGTGAGGGCCTCATTTTGCATCCAAATACAGCACCAATTGACAGATAGAAGTCCTTCACAGTGACCAGAGGGATTATGAGCCGTTCCTCTTCCAGAACAGTGTCCAGGTCACTATATGATGCTGGTGGACTCGCTCCTCCAAAACACCTCAATAATATTCAGATCTGGTGACTGTGCAGACCATGGGAGATGTTCAACGTCACTTTCATCTTCATCAAACCCTTCTGTCACAAGTCTTGCTGTGTGTGTTGATACACGGTTTGAGCATCAGGTGCTCATGATCCTCCAGAAGGGTTTGGTAGTCCTCGGCAGTGTCGTGTCCATCAAATACAATCAGGATTGTCATGATATTGGAGCCCAAACCATCACTGATCCACCCGTGCTTCACTCTGAAGATTGGCCGCCAGGCATATAGATGTGAAACCTCCAACATTGTCCAGTGTTTCAGTTTCATTGTCCAACCCCTGTATCACACCCGCGCCTATGCTCGTTCTGACTTCTCACTCGGTCAGTCTGCCGTTTCCTCTTTCTCTGTTCCTCCGACAATGCTTTCCTAGCTTTCTGTGTCTTATATGCCGGCTCCGCCATGACGATAGTGTGACAAACTCCATCCCTCTCGACCTTGTTCCTGGATATGTGCAGTGTTGCCGCGTAAAGGAATATGTTACATCGCGAGAGCTGATATCACGCGATACTTCCTGATGCTAAGGCCGGCGGCTCGCCGCACCAAAGTTGCAAGTGAGATTTTTCCGCTCACAGGCACCAGGGGGGGTCGAGACGCCCCCCATTCAACCCGAAAGAAGTCATATAACCATTTTAATAACTCTGAAGCTGTTATATTAAGCTAAAATAACTGCATAGTGTCCCTTTAAGTTAAGCTTGTTTAATCTGCTGGAACAAGTACAGTACATTTAGTGTGCGTCCCTGAGGAAGACGACAGAGTTCTGCATCATATGAGTGAGCGCTTCCTCGGGCTCATCCTGATCATGTTGTAGCTGCCAGTCACACATACACACAGTTGACATTTACATTACCAGCACAAATTCTTGGAAGGAATAAACATGTGTGTTGTGATTGTGTGTAAGTGGCTCAGGTGTGGATTAAAGCAGGGGGTTCAAGAGGGACAAATCAGAAACAGAGGGGCGGGGTTAATTAATGTCTCTCACACACACACACACACACACAGCAGATGCTGATACTTTCTCTCTGGGTGGTGTGTGTGTGTGTTTATAGGTGCATGTGTGTTCTGCTTCAGATGTGAGTAATTGCATTGAAGTCCACAGGGAGAAACACACACTCAGATTGATATACAATCAAGAGAGCATGTCAGATTAGGAAGGACTAGAAACTGACTGACATGTTAAAGAGAGAGAGAGTCGTTGTATTTAGCAGCTAATTAACACTTAAGTTGATAAATTCCAGTGGATGTGTGTTTAAATGACACTCAGATGCACACACTAATGGGCAAAACAGCTTTAAAACCGTCCAGTTGAGGACAAAAGTGATGGACAGAAGGAGAGTGCAAATGAAAAGAGGTCTGTCAGAGACGGACGGATAGAGGAGACTGATAAACAAAAGGACTGATAAGAACGAGGGACGCGGGGAAGAAGAAGATATAGACAGATATGAGACGCTGGGAGGAGATTTTAAACACATCAGTGCACACACACACTCATAAACACACACACACACGTTAATCTCTAACACAGACTTCTGTGATCTCCCTCATTCACACACACACACACACGTCTTGAGCTGTGGGCGTGGTGGTCTTTGAACCCTCCATATGGGACACATGTCATCATCAAATATTCATACTATGGTTTTGTCTCATTAAATATTCAACAATACGCACACACACACTTAAACGTACAGCATGGAATTAAACCTCCAGTCCCGCCTCCTGGGGTGCGCGTGTGTGTGTGTGTCTGGTCTTGTATTGGAAATGGAAATGGTGCACTAGAATAATTCACACCAATCTCAGTGAGGAGCCCCAGCAGCACAGAGTCAAGAGAAGCAGACTGATCTCAATGCTGTTATCACACACACACACACACACACGATTGAGTGCTGTAACACAAGTGGCATCAAACGTCCACTCATATATCCCATACAGTCACTCTCTCCCCTGACGCACACAAGCATGTAAGGATCTCCCATGCACTTCCATATCATTGCCTACGAGCCAAGTAAGCCAAGACTGTTCATCAATTAAAAATGATAAATACATATGCCATAAAAATACTTATTACATTATGAGATTAAATTAATTGCATATCAATATTTGCCTAGATAAGCCCTCAAATGAAAAAAAGACATTACGGTTTCAGATGAGTAAATCATTAAATAGTCATTAGTCTAAATAGTCAATAGTCATATATATATATATATATATATATATATATATATATATAAAAAATGTGCCAATTGGCATTTTTAAGACACTAAATCAAGCTTAAATTATTGTGTGTGTATATAAAGTCCTATCAAATTTATTTATCGTGATTAATCGCTAATATATGTTAACATAATATATATGTGTGTGTTTTATGCAATTAATCGTTTTGACAGCACTAATATATATATACAGTATATATATATATATATATATATATATATATATATATATACAAAAATGTTGGGTTGTTTTAACCCAAATTTGGGTCAAATATGGAAAAACCCAAATGTTGTGTAAAAAAAAATTAAGTGCAGTTGAAAGTGAAAGTTGAAGTTGGGTTAAAAAAAATTATTACATTTTTGACCCAAAATGCTGGGTCAAAAAATGTTGGGTTTTTGTTTTATTTTATTATATATATATATATATATATATATATACACACTGTACTACCGTTCAACATCTGCATTTACTGGATCAAAAATATAGCAAAACTGCAAAATACTGAAATATTAATAATATTTGCTGCTTAAGAAACATTTATTATTATTATCAATGTTGAAATAATATATTTTATGAAACCATGACATTTTTTTCAGGATTCTTTAATAAATAGAAGGTTCGAAAGAAGACCATTTTGTAATAGAAACCTTTTCGAAACATTATAAATGTCACGTTAATGTGTCCTTAATGAATAAAAGTATTAATGAGCATTTAGCACCTGTTAAATAGCGTTGAACCACTTCCACTTTTATGAGGATTTGCTGCTCAAAAGTTAGCTGATCGATATCTTTGCTAAAACCATGATACATTTTTCAGAATTCATTGATAAAATGAAGAGCATCTGAAAAAGAAATCTATTGTAACAAAATCAATATTTTAGTCGCCTTTTACTGCCACATTTGATCCATCCACGTTGAATACAAAAATAAATGAATGGTAGTGTGTGTATACCAGTAATCAAATCACACTCAATTTGGCAGTCCTACTTTACAAGGCTAACCCTACCCTGAAAACGCACATTTATATGTTTAGATCAGAACGAAGACATTTAATGTCCCATCAAGGTTTTGTTTTGATTCACTGGGACATTGAGCCTAACAGCTTCAGTAAGTCTACATCTGCCTTGGAAGATTTCCCAGCCTAGCTCCCTTTTATTTCCTCTAGTCTCTTTCTATACCCATACACGCAGTAAAATGGTCAAAATAAATGAACAAACAGCCTACATGTTTATTAAATCTACAGTATAGGCTCATTCAGCTCAATTACTAATCAGTGAAATGTGTGCTTGTGTGTTCATGTTCGGTGTTTTGGCTCCAGCTGGCTCTGGCCCAGTTTAATCCTGTCATAAGCACACAGGTAGCCTGAGGCTCAATACAAGATCTGCTCCGTTATACTGTTACACTTCACAGCTCGCTGGTCACAATGAGAGTTTAGCCCACCAACTATATATAGCAGCTATTAGCATAAAAAAAGACAACCAAAAGAGGGATTTATGGGAAAGAAATTTAAGAAATGGACATCCAGCTTGGACCCTCATCTGATGTCTGCCAAACAATGAAGGATGTTTCCTCTCATTAACTCGGCGGACAACAGTTCAGTTTTTAATTGAAAAAGAAAACATTATTATAAATGTTGCGTGGCTAGATTTTGTTTGGCCAAGGGACTTGTGCTTTCCTAGTTCCTTCCTCATTTTAAACATCTTTGTTCACATTAGGTATTAAAAGAATAATTTGAAAATTAAAATCTGTTGTCATTTACTCACCCTGATATTGTTCTAAACCTGTATGGCTTTCTTATGAAGGACACATGCTGTTCACCAAATGTGCTCTTTACCGTTTAATGGAAGTGAATAGGACATTGACAAAAATCACCATTTAAAAGTAGTCCACTTAACTTATAACGAAGACTTCCGAAGTCATACAGTATAGCTTTACATGAGGAAAAGCCTTGCTCAAGACCAGCAATAGCAATCTCATAGTCCCTATGGTGTATACCTTGAATGACAGGCTAAGTCTCATTCACACCAAGGACAAGAACTAAAACGATAATAATAAGGATATAGATCTAAAAATAAAAGAATGGATTACTTCACACCACAACTATAACGATAATTACACAAAGTGTTGTTGAAAACCTTTTCAGAATGACTTTTCCCCCAGCTGATAAACAATAAAAACAGACAGCCAATCAGAATCCATCCTGCTTTCAGAGCTCGAGCATTTAAAGTGGTATATACCAAAACTGCCACGCGCATTTATAATAAAAAGGACAATATCGTCTGCTATATCGTCCGTCATCCTCTATAGTTATCATTCTTAGTAAGAACAGCTCGCTTTGGGGGAAAAAAACGTTTGCTAAATGTGTAAAAGTAGGCATATAGACATTTAAACTGTTGTAAAAATCTTACCTCCATCGCTGTCTCATTCGTATTAAAGGGTTTGACATCAGCAATGTAGCCGCGGTCACTGATCCTGAATATGGAAAATACAATAAAAACTTTTATTTTGAGTTATAATGGAGGACACAATTTACACAGAATCACAATACATAGGCTACACTGTAAAAAATATTTTCAAGATTTGTTATCACAACATATTTTATTTTGTCAAATCAACTTTATAATAATTTATTTAGTTGAGATAACTTATTATTTTGAGTTTCTGATGGTTAAATTAATCTACTTCATTGTATTAACTCAATCAACTTAAAGGAACACTCCGACTTTTTGGGACTTTAGCCTATTCACCTTATTCCCCAGAGTTAGATAAGTCCATGCATACCTTTTTCATCTCCGTGCGTGCTATAAGTCTGTTTGACGCACCCACCGCTAGCCTAGCTTAGCACAAAGACTGGATGTGAATGGTTGCAGCTTTCATACTAATCCAAATGAGTGGCAAAATAACGCAAACGTTTTCCTATTTACATGTTGTGGTTTGTATAGTCACAGAGTGTGCAAATATCAAGGCCATGTGAGACAGACATCTTTTAACCGTATAAATACTATATTTTCTGAAGGCGAAGCACTGCTACTTGGGCAGAGTGATAACCATCACCTGAGACGCACCGTGACGAGGAGCAGAGAGTTCGCTCAGTGTTGGAATAAAGAGTCAGCAATTACTAACGTTAGATAGAAAAGCATAGTTTATCATGGGTGTTTGCTTTATTGTATGAGCTGTGACAATAAACAGGGGAGACCAGGTAATACAGTACCATGTTTCATTGATTTCCAACCAAAAACGCACCCAGATTTATAAATATCACAGAACATGAATAAATAATTATTATTACAGGAATCAATATATTTTAAATGCAATTTATTAGCTGAACCAAATGTATTCAACAGTATAATATACAGTATAATTGCATTACTATAGGATAGAATAAGGGGAAAGTAATAGCACAAATTGTTTTTGCACAATGAACTCACAGCCTATCGTACCCTTTTGCACGCTCAAGTTCGTTATTTCCATGGTTATTTCAAATTTAGGCTAGCAGCTACTAGGCGCGCCACGCCCAGGGTGCAAGTTCAACGCGTTGAACGTGCTCGTTTTTTTCCAAGCGCGTCCGCACCGCATCAAGATAAAAACATATTCATACCCTAATTATATAATAGTGTCACTAACGTTACATTAGATCTGGCTTATGGCACTGTTACAGTAGGTCATCTAAAAACACTTACCTCAGCTGCAGGTGATACACTTGTCCTGTCTGTGCTATAGATGGGATAGCCGTATCCTTCAGCACATTATGGTCTGTGTGGCAAATTCCATTTTTTCAAAATAGTCGTCCTCATTGAAATGTACCGAGCAAACATAATGTCCCTTGATAATCTATTTAGTTGTGTTTGGATCAATATCCAGAGTAAGTTAGCCATTTCTTCATCCAGTCAGCGTTTTTAGTTGGAATTCTGTGAAACATGGAATTACCTCCCCAGTTTACTGTCGCAGCTATTTACAATAGAGCGAAAACCCATGACTGTAAACTACGCTTTTACTATTTATAAATTGCTGACTCTTTTACCCAAACACTGAGCGAACTCTCCGCTCCTCACCACGGCGTGTCTCAGGTGATGCGGTTATCACTCTGCCAAAGTAGCAGTGCTTCGCCTTCAGATAATAGTTCCCAGGTTTTATACGGTTAAAAGATGTCTGTGTCTCATTTGACTTTGTTATTTGTACATTCTGTGACTATACAAACCACAACATGTAAATAGGAAAACGTTTGCGTTATTTTGCCACTCATTTGGATTAGTATGAAAGCTGCAACCATTCACATCCAGTCTTTGTGCTAAGCTACGCTAGCGGTGGGTGCGTCAAACAGACTTATAGCACGTACGGAGATGAAAAAGGTATGTATGGACTTATCTAACTCTGGGGGGTAAGGTGAATAGGCTAAAGTCCCAAAAAGTCGGAGTGTTCCTTTAAAATTTTAAGGCAACCCAGGTTACTTAATTTTTTAAGTTAAACCAACAATATTTTTTACAGTGTAGTAATCACAACATTTTTTCTTTTGTCAAATCAACTTAAATAATTTATTTAGTTAAGATAACATATAATTTTGAGTTTCTGATGGTTAAATTAATCTCCTTCATTGCATTAACTCACCTTTTCCAGTTCAATGAACTTAAAATTTTAAGGCAACCAGGTTACTTACTTTTTTAAGTTAAACCATCAATATTTTTTTACAGTGTACATACAACTAATGCTTTTATTCTGAACGGACGCTTTAAACTGTTTGAACATCGAAAGTGAAAGTGGTTTAAAAAAAAAAATTACATAAAAAAATCTAATGCTAAACGATGATGGTAATAATAAATGTTTCAGCAGATCAGCATATTAGAATGATTTCTGAAGGATCATGTGACTGAAGACTGGAGTAATGATGCTGAAAGATTCGAATGTGAGATTTTTTACTGTAATAGTACTTCAAAATACTGTTTTACTGTATTTTTGATCAAATAAATGAGCATGAGACTTCTTTCAAAAACATTTAAACAATCCTTACTGACCAGTACTGTCGTGTGTATGAATCAAATCAGATCAAATCATGCGATAACTATACCTGTAGTTGGTGTGTGCAAATGTGGTCAACTTTACAAGACTAGAAGAACATGAGCAAACATGAAAGAAAACAGATGGAGACAGTAGAAAGAGAAAAAGTGCGCTGGAAGTGAGTGAGTGGGTCTGGATTAACCCAACTGACCTCTTGACACTGTTCAGATCACACACATCAGACCTCGACTCACTGTCTCCATTACAGCTCCGGCAGCTCTGAGTCTGAACCCCAAACTTTGACCCGGGAGGTGTTGTGTAAACACTCAGACTGCAAGAGCTTCTGCTAGGCATGCATCTTTATTATTATCATCATTAAGGCAGTAATTATCTCTGGGCCCAATAAAGAATCTTCCACAATATAAGCTGATGCGATCTGACACACTCGCTTGGAGAGTTTTGCGAGTGTGTGGGTCCAGATTTTGCAAATCACAGGTTGCAGCCAAGAAAATGGCTTAAATAAACATGCCAAAGTTAATGATATATTTTAATATTTAAAAAAAACTAATATATACAATACATAAATATAATTATATAAAATGAAATATTATAATGATATGTGATTATACATGTATATAAACAATTGTGAAGGTTAGAATTAGAACTAGGAGATTAAAAATATAATACGCTCAGAATCAAAACAATAAAAGTCAATGTGTGTGTGTGTGTGGCCAGGTAAAGCCTACGTTATGGGACAAAATATCTCCACAAAGATGGAAATGTCTGGAATCCTTGTCCTTGTGGGGACATGTTTCGGTCTCGTGAGGACAACAGCTCATAAATCACGAATTATCAGGGATGTTTTTTGAGAATGTGAAAATGCAGAACGTTTTTTTTTTGGTGTGTGTGATGGGTAGGTTTAAGGATTGAATATGCCGTTTACAGTATAAAAATCATTACGTCTATGGAAATTCCCCATAAAACATGAAAACACAACGCGTGTGTGTGTGTGTGTGTGCCAAAGAACTGATTAGCAATCAGTGGCATTGTGGTAGACTGGTAGTTTAGAGGCTATTGTACTGTTGTATGAGTGTGTGTGTAGTGAGCTGGGATAAGTTGTGTGTTCATGCATTCATATATTGCATTAGAACAAGAACATCTCAGCACACTGATGTTTGTGCACGTGTGTGTGTGAGAGTGCATGTAGCTGTGGGCAGTGCTCCTAAATTGCAGTGTGTGTCCGGGGAGTTTGATTTGTGATGGTGCTATTTTGGATATTCATTATTAATGGACACTGGCCTAATTCAGACCACAGCTTTTAGCACTCCATTCTAAATGACACACACACACACACACACGCTCAGTGTCTCTCAAACAAATCGCATCTCCCTTGAAAGTGCTGCCCTCAAAATTTCTCCCTCGTTCATTTTCTCCCAAAGTCTCTCTATCAAAAAGGGGCTCTGGTGTTTCCATCATTCCCTCATCCTCCCTTCTCCCGTCTCTCTCGCTCCATGTATGTTGCAGCATTAGCCGTGTGTCTCCCAGAGGAGAGCTATCTGTCCCTCTTTGCTAATAATGCCACTTCATTAAAAGCGGCTCATTTCTCCGTGGGCCCATCAGAGACAGGCCTTTCCCTCAGACAGACGGCACTGCGGCACAATCTCGCCATCGCAGCGAGAGAAGCGGAGGTCCGAATCTGTTCACAGGAGGCACAGCGAGGCATCTTGGTTTTACATGCAAACATTTTCAAAGCATTATGTAAAGTTTAGCATAATATTACTGAAACGATTCTTCAAATCAAAAAATGTTACTGGGTAAACACTAAATGTGGCACTCACAACATTCTCACAACATTTATTGAACCAGAAATGGTTCCATCTCCCGCTTCATATATGGAACTCCAAAATGGTTCTATATAGAACCATTTTTTTGGTAAAAGGTTCTATTGGCCAAGTATGGAACCCCAGGGTTCTATATAGAACCATTTTTTTGGTAAAAGGTTCTATTGGCCAAGTATGGAACCCCAGGGTTCTATATAGAACCCAAAGGAACCATTTTTTTTAAGAGTGTATAGAACCTTTTAGGGGTTCCAAATATGAGCGCTGATAGAACCTTTTAAGGTTCTATATAGAACCTTTTCTTCTAAGTGTGTAGGCTCTAGCTCTGAACCAGCACCTGGTTCTTGTTGGTGGAAAAGGTGTATTAGGGAAATCAGAACAGAATCAACATGAATGTATATACAGATATCATGAAAGGCGTCACTGAACGCGGATCCACAACAGAACCGGAAGACAACAAAATGCTGAATAAAGTCGGAGTTTTTGTTATTTTTGGATCAAAATGTATTTTCGATGCTTCAAAACACTCTAACTAACCCACTGATGTCACATGGACTACTTTGATGATGTCTTTATTTCCTTTCTGGACAAGGACAGTACACCGTACATACATTTCCAATGGAGGGACAGAAAGCTCTCGGA